AAAAAAAAAAAAAAAGAAAAAGAAAACACAGACACAAAACTTTCCCCTTTGGGCAGTGATTGGACAAAGGCTTCAGTGTAATTTCACAATTTTATTTCTTTATAAAATCAGTTTCTTTCTCCTGCTTTAGTTTTTATATTTCACTTAAATGATAGAAAATGTTAAAGGCAATAACCTTTAAGGATGGAAGTCATTTATTCCTCAAATTTTCTCGTAAAAGGAGAGCGGAGAGCACCTGGTCGCTATTTCAATTTTATGGACTTTATAGAATCATAGGAACCACAACAGTCTTTTCAGATGTTTTCTACATGTTTGATGTGATAATCGGAATAGTTAGAGAGTTGGGAGTTGGCATTTTCTTCACCTGTACTCCCTACATTTAGGTACTTATCATGCTTATGGAAACTTTTAGCCATCTTCTTTTCTCTTGACTATTCAACAGGTCGATGTGTTTTCTTTTGGTATTGTCATGTGGGAGATTCTCACTGGGGAGGAACCTTATGCCAATATGCATTATGGAGCTATTATAGGTCAGCTCTTTTCTTTTCTATGTTTAAAGATTTAGGTGGTATCAAATTGGTGTGTTATGAGCTAGGATACTCTGTCTTGAACTAAATTGTATATCAGCATTACTTTTCTTTTTTGGTTATGAATCAGCGTGCTAAGTAGGAATCTCGATCTTAACTGTTATAAACTAGGTTACTGTGTCTTGAACCAGTTTGTATATCCGTTAGTCATCTCTCTTGCAACCATTTATGCATAAGCTCCTCTCTGGCAATTGTTTAGGCGTTGCTCCTCTCTCCTTAGACTGTTCAAGCTTTGTTCATCTCTCAAGCGATCGTTCTAGTGCTACTATCTCTCCAGCGAGCGGCTCTGCTACTTTGTGCACAACCGTCGCCTTTCTCTATACGTTGAATTTCTTGTTGTTCTACCAATTCAAGTTGTGCTGATTACAACACCATATCTCTTTTCCAAGATTAAGAACAGATTCCTTTCTGTGTATAGTGAAAGAGGCACTTTTTTTCATTGTGCAGTTACCAACTCAGGGAAAAAATTCCAACACCGTTTTTCTTTATGGTGATTGTGCACTATTCCTGTGAGATTTCACTTTCAACTTTTATGTTTCCAAAATAAACAAACTCAAGTTGGTTCCTCACTTTGAGTTTGAGGAGTTCTATTACAATATCAAGAGAATATATGTCTAGTTTATACATGTTTAGATTCATTGTACTTGAAAAAAGAATATCTTATAGAAGATATTTACTTGCCTTATTACTGTTGAAATTGGTTACCTACCATAGTTTGTGAGGCTTATGACTCCTTTATATGGAGCATGTCTCAGGTTGATGCGAAGTTTCTGCGCCCAGTGCTTTGATCTAGTGGTAAGAGCTCAACATGTGATGTAACACCCAAGGGTGTGACCCAGTGGTCAATGAAGTGAGTAAAAACGTTGGATACCAAGGTGCAAATCGTGACAGAGTTACAAAAGAAAAAAAAAACTAGATGATTTCCCATTTGCCTATGTTTTGGTGAGCAGAGTTACCCGGTACCTATGCTGGTGAGAGATAAGAGGTACCTGGTGGAATAGTTGAGGTGCATGCAAGGTGGCTCAAACACCAATAAAAAAAGCGCAATATGTGATATGTGGTTAGGCGCAAGTCATGGGTTCGAACCACGCCATAGACAAAAAGACTGGTATATAAATGGAGAAGGGTAGAAAGGTCAATTGAGGATCCACCTTGAGAGGTAGGGGTGCCATGCCACCCGCAAGTTTGGCAAACTTCTTAAAAATATATGTTGTACTCCCTCCGTTCCAATTTATGTGAAGCTATTTCCTTTTTGGTCTGCTCCAAAAGAATGACCTCTTTCTAAATTTGAAAACAATTTAGCTTAAACTTCCAATTCTACCCTTAATGAGAAGTTTTTATAACCATATAAATACTCAGGCATGTTTACCACCACAAGTTTCAAAAGAATTATAGCCATACAAATATTCTGACTAGTTTAGGACCACAAATTCCAAAAGTCTTCATTTTTTTCTTAAACTCCGTACCCAGTCAAACAGGTTCACATAAATTGGGACGGAGGGAGTAATATTTTAGAATATGGTTAAATGCATACGTTGCCACCCGCAATATCAAACCAGAGGAAGGTGCCTTGTTGGGAATTAGTTTCTTAAAGTTATATTCATGTTTATGCTTAGGATTGAGTCTGATTCTAATGAGGAACTCAATTTTTCGTTTGCAGAGTTTCCCTTTTCTTTTATATTTTTCCCTTTTGTCTGTGTCTTTTCTTCTTCCTTTGGTTTTTTTTTAATCTTTTTCCTTTTTTCGTTTTTCTTTTTCCAATCATTTCTCCTTTTGTTTGTTTGTCAATGACCTTGGAAGGAGTATATAAAAAAGCAACTTCAAATTATCAAAGTACCATAAATAAAAACATGGCTCTTAATTCAAATTCTGTCACTTGTGTTAATAAAAAGTACACAAGATTATTCTTTTCAAAATTCTGATAGTTTGTATATTTTATATACGAAGTGCAGTTGTACTACTGAAAATATATTGCTTGCAATGTATAATTTCTATATCAATTTTTTTTTCTTTTTTTGCTTATACTCTTATAGGATTAGTGTGATTCTCCTATTGAAAATACTTTCACTTATGCAAAAATATTTAATAAAAATGGTGTGATTCCTTTATTGAAGGAAGATTGCTAATTTTTACTTGTGCTGATTTGTTTTTTATAAGATTGTGTTGATTTTTCTATTGAAAATGTCGTTGAATTTATTAAACCGACCTGTATGAACTTGAAACATATCAAACCGAATTGAATCCAACCGATATATACTCACATTAAAAGTTTATGGTTAGTGCGAGGCGTACATTAAAGGAAATATGGCACCCGCTATCTTCAAATCCCGGATGCGCCTCTGAGTAGGGTGGGGCCATTATCCGTCGAGTTTCGAACCATGCGCCACTAGCCCTCAGAGATTCTCGATTATAAGAAAAAGTAATGAGAAGTTTCTTCTATTTTTCACAATTGGAAGTGGATTTGCAAGTCAAAAAGGGGCTTAAGACAAGCTTTATCTCCTTTTTTGTTCGTATTGGTGATGAAAATCTTAAGTCTTATATTGAGGAAAGTAGTTGCAGATGGATGGATCAAAGGCTTTAATATTGAAGGCAGAGATCACAGAAGTATAGAAGTCTCGAATGTGTTGTATGCAGATGAAACTTTGCTATTATGTGAAGCAGAGAGTGAGAGCAATTATTATATATAAGAGGGATTCATTGGCTTTTGAAGCAATGTTTGTATTAAAAGTTAACTTGGCAAAGAGAAAGAGCAGCATATTTTCTGTTAATGCACACAAAAAATTGGATAAGTGGCGGAAACAATGAGGAGCACGGTAGAACAATTTCCAACAGTATATTTGGGCCTATCTTTTGGAGCAAAGCAGAAGATCAGGGGGTTTGGCAAGGCATCATTGATAAATGGCTACGGAAAGAAGTTGGCACCTTGGAAAAGGCAATACTTGTCATTTGGTGGGAGATTGAATTTAATAAATAGTGTATTGGATGGAATTCGAACATATATTATATCTCTAATTCCAATCCGAACAAAGGTGGAGAGGAGATGAAACAAGTTGAGGAATGATTTCTTATGGGAAGGAAATTCTGGAAGTGGAAAATACATTTAGTTAAATGGTCCACTGTTATGAAAGATAAAGAGAGGGGAACGGGAGTAAAGTCTCTAAGACTTCTCAATAAATGCTTATTGTGTCAGTGGCTTTGGAGATATAGTGACAATAGTAATGATTTATGGAGGTGATAATCTCAAATTATGGAAGGGATGGAGACTGGTTTCCAATCTAGTGTTAGCTCCTGATGGTGTAGCAGTATGGAAGATAAGAGGGTCATGGAAAGAGTTCCATGAAAATACTTGATTAAAAGTGGAGATTAATCTGTGGAGTGAAAAATTGGTGGAGGATATGACACTAAAAGATCTTTTTCCAGAATTGTTCTCTCTTGTTAACACAAGGATTGCTGATTGCTCTTCTGAAAATGGATGGAACTTGCAGTTCAGGAGACATCCTAATGATTGGGAGATTTGGAGGTGTTAACCTTCTGTTGCAAAAATCGACTTCAGTGGTGATAATTGAGGATAGGGAGGACTCAATACAACGGACAGCCAGTAGATGGGAACAACAACAACAACGACCCAGTGAAATCCCACGAGTGGGGTCTGGGGAGGGTAGTGTGTACGCAGACCTTACCCCTACCCCGAGGGGGTAGAGAGGCTGTTTCTGATAGACCCTCGGCTCAAGAAGACGAAAAGAGCCAGTAGATGGGAAGTTCTCTATTAAACCCTATAACTAGCTTCCATGTTCGTAGATGAAGCTGATTCGAAATTGTCTTCCATTCCAAGGCACAAATTATATCCATGCGCTTCATATTCACCCAAGTTCGCTCCCAGAAATATAGCCATCCCTGCTCCCAAATGTTGCTAGTTCAGGGAGACAGAGTAGATGAACAGCCTGCTAAGATGATCTGGAGACTAAGGATCCTCCTAAAATGGTGTGTTTTGGATGGGTTGCAACACATGGTGCTTGCTTGACTCAAGAGAAACTACAAAGACAAGGGTTTAATTTCTGTAGTAGAATTATTTCTCTGAGAATTTCGTTGAATCGAACCCGGCATCTTTTCATGGATTGCTGTCAAATCTTGACAAATCTGGGCAATGCTCTTAGATTTATTTGGTGACTCCCAAGGGCCTAAAACAATTGTTTAATTGCTGGCAGCATCAAAGGATTACCAAACAGCAAAGGCAAAGGTGGAAGTCAATTCCATTATGCATAATCTTGTTGCAACTTATGTCCCCGTTTAAACCTTTTATATGACGTTGACCCCTAGTGCCATTCAACAGTTTTGTTCTTTTGTTGATTTGCTATTTTAATAAGGCTAGTCATTTTGCTACATTATTCCTTATGCATAATCTTGTTTACAATTTATACCCCGGTTTGAACCTTTTTATGATGTTGACCCCTAGTGCTGTTCAACAGTTTTGTTCTTTTGTCGATGTGCTATTTTGATCAGGCTAGTGATTTTAATACATTCTTCCTCGTATGCAGGAGGTATTGTAAACAATACACTGAGGCCAACAATTCCTAGCTACTGTGATCCAGAATGGAGGTGCTTGATGGAGCAATGCTGGGCCCCTAATCCTGCATCAAGGCCATCTTTTACAGAAATTGCTAGTCGATTACGGTTATTGTCTTCTGCTTCCCAGAACAAAACTACTGGTCACAAGGCATCTAACTAATAGTTGTCTACCTTCACTTGTTTATGTGGTAAATTTATTCATTTTATTGGAGCAGCAAAGAATATGCTCAGACATCTATATAAACAATTACTCTAGATATGAGGATCACTTTTGTATCGGGGAGAGCTACTGCAAACTTATATTTGTGTATCCTGTTTGGGAAAAGTAAGAAAAGAAGTCTTTTGTTTGTTCGAGAGTTCTTCATGGCATGACAATCATTTATAGTATTTCACAATTGAAAAATTCGTGACACATTTTGCAGTCAATTTGGTTCTCCTTTGAAACTGCAGCATTTCTGCTGAGGTTTACATCAGTGCCCTTGGATATTCATCTACTGCTCCAATAAAAGTAACCATCCCTTGGCCTGCGGCCCTTTCCCGGATCCTACGTGAACGTGGGATGCCTACATCACACCTCTTGGGGTGCGGTCCTTCCCCGGACTCTGCGGATGCCTTGTGTGCCGGGTTGCCCTTTTTTCTCCGATAAAAGTACCATGACCAGTGAAGAAATTTCCCTGCCTTTTTAGTGTTTATTCATCTACTGCTACCGAGGAAGGAGGTAGTTGAGGGACCTGGAAGGTCAGAAAGCTTCTTAAAGGTTGGTGCCTTAAATTTATAGGCCTTTGTGAAAGATTGGGTGTCTACTATGGTCAATGCTGTCTCCAACTGCCAATGTCATGTGCTTTCAGAAAAAATAAGGATTTCTCGCCGGATATCATATCTTGTTAGTTGGATATCAGAAAGTGAATAACGAAAACTCAAAATTTGTGGGGCAAAATAATTCAGGTTAAATGGTAATATAGCGAGCTCTAAAAATTCAAAGCAAGCATTGCTGCTTATACTCAATTCCAGTGAAATGATAGGAACCTCCTTGTTGGTTAGTATTATTTTCTCAAATGAGGTGACTCAACAGCAAGATTTGTCCACTAATATATCAGGAGGATGCAGCATTGTGGACTTCCCAAGCAGACGCAAACATTATTGGCCTTCCTTTCCATCCCAGCAGAAGGCAGCCCTTCTCACTGGCTAGAGTATAACCATCGGAACCATAGACTGAAAGCATCATCTGAGCCTGGCTCATACACTTCAATCCTACTACCTGAAATCCAGCACGTCCAAGTTGCCTGCGCCACTGGTCTGCTCTTTCATGCCTCTCGATCCTATTCGATCCTTCATATGCCACAATGTTTCGAATCTCCTCTGCATAATGACACTTCTCTATCTTAATCCTTGTGGTGGAGTCCCGTGGGAGGTTAGCTTCAAGTGAATCAAAAATGGCAGAGTAATAGTGAAGTGATTCCAAGAATCTTCCTAGAAAGAAAGGGCCATTGTGATTGGCGTCCTGTTCCACCACAGTAACCAGAGAAGGGCCTAATTTCTTGATGGCTTGAAGAATGGTCTTGAGAGATCCTCTGCTCTCTTTTACATAATTGTGCAACTGCATGACGCTGTTCACAATTAAAGCCTCCCCTTCTCTTACATCAAGCTTTTCCCTAGTGAAGAGCGATGCTGATACTGTCTCCTTGATTACTTGGAACTCTAGACGAATATTGCCTGAAGAAGTAGCAGCAACCTCATCCATAAGGCTCTTCAATCCAAGTTCAAGCTCCATAAAATCATGAGTATCTTCAAGAATGCCTGTGATGCGAACTTGTCTTGGAGGAGGTGAGTCTGGTTGTGCAGTTAACGTTCTAATTAAGGATTGCCATTGAAAAATATGGAGCATTCCAAGATCAATGATATGCAAGCGTTCCTTCCCTCTGGAAGCTTTGCAGATAGCATCATTTGCAGCCATGAAACCAAAAGCCATGTACGGAGTGATTTGGTTCAACCAATGATAGGCCTCTCTTTTCTCCTCTCTAGATGAAGCTGCTAACTGGTCCTGTATTAATGTTGCACCTGCATTATTTCTATGTTGAAGAAGCATTAGTCTGGATTGAAGTCCCAAAGCAAAGCAATAGGAGACCCTTTGGAGCGAGTCACCAAAAGGGGTGACTGCAGGCCAGATTTGAGTAAGCAATGAATCAGAAAGTTGAGTGTCCCTACAACCTACAGCCTCAGCACAAGCCAAGAGCAAATGTACAAGCTGAAGCCCCTGATCCACCTCTGCCTCCACAATGTCATGGCTAATTGTTTCCGCTCCAATAAGATCATCGCTTGAGCTAGAAGCCTCTAGGACGGTATACCTTGGTTCTTCATCGGTCAGCATTGATGGATTCTCGTAACTGTATTCATTGAGTATCATTGATGTGAAGTCTCCAAACTCCTCATTATCAAGATTTACTTGGTGATCAAGAGGATCTTTGTCGTAAGAATCAACGTTGAAGAAGCTATCAACAAATTCTTGCTCCTCCTGGGAAGAGGCTGAGTGATCAGGGGTGCTAGTATAAGTGTACAGCTCACTTATACTATTTTGTGAATGTTGTTGTTGTTGTTGATCGTTCATTCGGGCAGCAGCACAAAATTGTCGAATGGCGAAATCTTGGTTGTGGCTCTGCAAGGAGAGCGCCCAATCCGAATTCATTTCATGCATTGGTTTGCTTTGCTAGAGAAGTCAGGACTTTATCTATGTACAGGTAATACAGCTAGCGGGTTATGTGCTGGAAGATGGAGTAGTTGAACAGGCCGTCTCAGAATATTCTCTTTGTTTACTACTCCTATTTTAAACGAGAGAATTTCGACAATGGACAAAACCCCAACAAGAAATGAGGAAAACACTTGTTTGTTTTAACGCATGAAAAAGCTTTTTATCTTGGATTTTCTTTCTATTTCTTGAATTAAAAGTGCCATTTATGAGAAAAGGTTCAAATTTGTCTTGTACTATCCAAAATTGCTCCATTTTGCCCTTATTTACATATTGCTCTATTCATATTCTTGCCATTATTAACCAATACTCTCAAATTTGCCCTTGTCGTTAGAAGAGCTCACTTCATAAACTCCACGGTGAAGCTCCGTTAGGGACCAATGGCAAAAACAAGACTTATTATTAACGGCAAGGATAATATTAGACCAAAAATTTAACGCACGAAATAAATTCACCAAATTAACATTGTGGACTCTTGTAAAAGAAATGAAGCGGAGAATAAGTCAAAGAATAGTTGGAGGTTGAGGCAAAAGAAGACATAGGGATGCAAAGCTAATGCAACAAACCCAGCACTGTTGCCGGCAATACTTTTGACAAACGAAGCTCATTTTGATTTTCCGTAAATATTTTATTTGTACTCGATATTTATATTAAATCAAATAATTAAATCTTAACTCTTAAAAATTAATGTGATAAAATTATATATGTATGAAAAACAACCATATTACTTTCATTTAATGTAAAGACAAATATGTTTTTATATCTTAATTTTCAGACTCCCACATCATCGTTTTTTTGTCACAAAGTCATATCTAATTTATTAGTCGGCCACCAAATTATGTGTGACGCTACCTTATTGCATGTCCAATTGCGTGTGAGTTCGAGGCAAATCTCCTTTCCTCAATTTTAGGCATATCACTATTCATTCTGGCTGTGGGTTCAACTTACGTTTTCGTGTACAAAATTTATTGAGTCATCACAGCGGTACTTTAACAATGCTAAATCATTTAAATACTCAAAAATAAAATATGTAGCTCTTTTTTCGAGGTCAGTTCACCTGCTCTATCTTTCTTTTCCCTCTCTTTTCTTTATTTGATTATTCTTCTCTACCACAAGACAAAATTAGTTGATCAGCAAATTAAAATAGATGATTGAAGAAGGAATTAAGACAAAATTTTATAAAGGTGCCTAGGGGCAAAGAGTACACATGGAACTTTAATACTCCCCCGTCTCATATTCACTTGTGCACACCCCTTAAGAAAGAATAGTTTTTGACTACTTTACCCTTATTAAATATTTTCTCAATTTATGTGTCATCTCTATCAATGACATTATCCATATTTTTACTAAATGTGAATGCAATTGATTATTAAGGGGAAAAAAGGAAAAATATAATCAATTTTGTCTTGAATTTCTAAAATGACAAATAATTTGAAACAACTATTTTTATTAATCACGACACATATTATGAGACTAGGGAGTACTGGTTAGTTGAACTGATTGAAGCAGAATTAGACAAGCACAATATTCTAAAGTCTGTACCATTACCAACACATTTACAACATACTTGGACTAGGTACTACAACCTCAATACTTAAATGTAACACGAGTCCAATTCTAAGAGGTGAAGTGTCGGACTTTTAGTAAATGCACCTCTACCCTACATTTTTTTCAATTTAATACCTGTGGGGAAAAAATAAAACTAAAGAAAAATTTCAAAAGAGAAAATAAACTGCGTATGGAATAAAGGGTTACAGTTCTTGGATAGGTAATTTCAGAACAAAACGAAAGGTGAAAAAACAAAAGCATAAGGAACTGCTGATCAAACCAACCTAATATCGTTTTTTGAGTACATCGTGTTGGCCATTCATTGTAAGAGATATGTTCTTCGACTTGTTCAACTAGTAAGTGATAAAGATTTCTCTATCGGTGCTTAGACATTTCGAAGATTTGATTATGTTGTAGTTGGTCATCGACCATTCTAGGTTAATTAGATTGATCTGCCAAATATGATGGACAATACCGTAGTAGGTGATTTTTATATGGCTGATTGAGTGGAGATTGTAGTAAAATACTGAAAATGATTTTCTATGCATTAGTTGTGATGTACCTTGGAGTGGTTCTTTTAACACGTTAGTTGAGAGCGTAACTAAATGTGGTAAGTTAATTAAATGTGGTAGCTAGCGTGTAAGGTTTAAAATTGTGAGTGAAAGTTGCGCGCAATGAAGTATGTCAAAGGGGATAGGTTATATGTTAGCAAGTATGGGGGTATTCTATTAACTGCTGCAGGACAGGATACCGAGAATCATATATATATCCAATGGCATTTTGTGTAGTGGATTAGAAGTGCGATAATACATGAATTTTCTTTTTCAAGCAATTAAAAACCATATTTGATGATAACTTTGAGCGATGCATAATCTCTAATAGGCATTTTAGCATAGCCAATAAAAATTTTCGGGTTTATAAGCATGCTTAATATGAAATTTGTATGAGGCATCTTGTTGAAAACCTGTGCCAAAGGTTCAAGTGTGGAGATTATCTTTATTACTATTATTTGGCAGCACACACATGAAGTAAAAATGAGTTTTTTTGACCATTCTTAGAAACTTCGAGAAAGATACTCAATAATAGCTAGATATCTTGAGTTTGAGGTTGGGTTTAACATATGGAGCATGTTTGATTTTTCAGGAAACATGAAGTGATGACCATAAATATTACCAAGTTGCTGAACGCAATATTGTGGAAAGAAAAAGAATTTCCTTTCGTTTTCCTGTTCAACTGTTGCCAGGACTCAATTCCCACAGTAGGCCGTGATGGCGCCTAACGCTGCCACTAAGCTAGCCAACAACTTAACATCTGCAACGAATAGTCCAGTATGTCTTAAAACAATTTGAGAATAAAAATTAGAGAAAAACATTCTCAACCAATCAGGAAATTTTAGGTATCACAAAAGAAAGTTCGTTCAATGATCAAATTACAAGCCAAATGCCATATCAGCTAATACAAAATACGACCAAGCGGTTCACAATCCCAAAACCTGGTGTCACAAGTTCATGATTATTTACTAGGATATATAATACTACTACAATAACTATATAAGATAGAAAATAGATAGAATACAGTAAATGAATAGGAAGGAGACTACCTGTTCTACGGATTGTAACATAGAAAGCAACTAACCACAAAGTCACCTAAGCAGTTGTGCTTACACGCCCATATGACCACAATTAGTGCAGAAATATAGTATGAGTACGTATATTGATGCGTAACCAGTAACTATCTAGTCTAACCTCGAAGAAGTAGTGGCGAGAGATCGACATCGACACTTGCTAATGGTCCAATAGTTAAATTACAATAAAAGTAGATAGGTCTGAAGCATAGCAAGTAGCAACGAAATAGACAAATATGTATGACATGATCCTCAACAGAAGAATAAATACAAAATCATCAACTACCAAATACTGCCTCGAATGGAATATATGTGAACAATATCCGGTGCAAATGTCAAACCGAATTAGGATACTCATATATATACTGACTCCCTATCAAAATATTATGCACGATTCTGCCGATACGAGCGTCCCGACCGATAAGAGTGGTGCTACAAGATGTTGCCGAGGTCGTACGGTGTAACGACCCGGCCGGTCGTTTTGAGTGTATTAGCTCCGACCCCTAATTATTGCCTTCTCTGTGTTATATTTTGGTTACGTGACTTGCCTGGAGGTTTGGGTTTTGGTTTTAGAGTGAAATGGGACACATAGCCCCTAAAATGGAAGTTTAAGTCGTAGGAGTTCAGCGTAGTTTGAATAGTGTGAAGATGACTCCGAAATAGGGTTTTGACGGTCCTAATAGCTCCGTAGGATAATTTTGGTCTTAGGAGCGTGTTCGGATGTTGATTTGGAGGTCCGTAATTTCGGTGTTAACTGGTGAAAGTTGGATAATTTTTGAAATGTTTGATGGGGAGTGGAATTTTTGATAACAGGGTTGGATTCCGATTCCGATTCCGGAAGTTGGAGTAGGTCCATAATGTCAATTGTGACTTGTGTGCTAAATTTGAGGTCAATCGGACTTGATTTGATAGGTTTCGGCATCGGATGTAGAAGTTTGAAGTTCTAAAGTTCATTAGGCTTGAATCGATGCGCAATTCATGTTTTTAGCGTTGTTTGATGTGATTTCAAGGATCGACTAAGTTCGTAGGGTGTTTTAGGACTTGTTAGAGTGTTGGGTTGAGGTGCCGGGGGCCTCGGGTGGTTTCGGACAGTTAACGGATCAAGTTTGGAACTTAAAGAATGGGTGAAGTGCTTCAGTTCTGGTGCAATCACACCTGCTCAAGTTTGACCGCAGGTCGAGATCGCAGAAGCGAGAGGGAGAGCGCAAAAGCGGAAATGGGCAGTCCAGGCAGGACTCGCAGGTGCGGAAAAGTTTCTGCAGAAGTGGCTTCACTTCTACGGTGAGGTGATGCGCAAGAGCGACTGGGTCGCAGGTGCGACACGTTTTGTCGTAGGCGCGCACGCGCAGGTGCGACCCTTTGCTCCCACAAGCGGACCTAGGGGACTTAAGTGAAGTCCTTACTTGTGATGGAAATTCCTCAGGTGCGAAACCGCATATGCGGCTGTGGGTTCGCAGATGCGCAACCGCTGGTTAGAAAAGGCCTAAGTTCGAGGGTTTTATTTCATTATCCATTTTTGGACCTAGAGAGCTCGGTTTGTGGCGATTTTTTCAAGGGTTTTGCAAGGAAATCATTTAGGTAAGGATTCTTGACTCATTTTTGATTAATTCCCACGAATCTATTGTTGTTTCCTTCATTTAATCAGTGTTTTTAGTTGGAATTTTGGAAATTGGGAAAACTCCTTAGGCTAAAATTTGGGGATTTGAAAGGCGATTTGAGGTCGGATTTGAGTAATTCTTGTATGGTTGGACTCGATATTGAATGGATGTTCAAATTTTATAATTTTGGTCGGGTTCCGAGGCGTGGGCATGGGTCGATTTTTTGGAGTGATTTTCAATTCTTTATTAAAGTCATAGTTTCATTATTTAAACTAGTTTCTTATAGTTATATTTATTGTATGAAACTGTTTTTGCTAGATTCAAGCCGATCGGAGTTGGAATATCGAGAGAAAGATCTTCTTATTGATTGATTGAGCAAGGTTTGAGGTAAGTGACTTGTCTAACCATGTGTGGTGGAAATTT